AACAATTAATCCCCGAGGGAGGCTGCAGCACCTTCTCCTGGCACTCCTGAGCCAGCCATTGGGAATCCACAATTACCTTACCCCTTGTAAGAGTTTTTCCCTTTTTACCAGCTCTTTCTGTTAAATCTGAATGCCCAAATTTGGCTTTTAGTCTTTGATTACCAGTACTGATGAGCGATTGTCCAAAGRGTTTTTGCTTCCTGTGCTTCACAATCTGCTGAGCTTTGGGAGCTTCCAAATATCAATCACCTGACTATTTCTGCCATAATTGAATGAAATTCAGTGTAATCCCCCTCCAGTGAATGAGGGCTTCACTTTACCCTGAGATAAGAGTCTGCTTTGAGCAAATGCCAAGAAGAACTTGACACACTGCATGGTTTATTCTGATTTAAACCATGATCATTTGCTTAGGTACCTACATCCCTTCCATTCTTAATTTCCTTCCCCATCATCTYCAAATAATGTAGAACTCCAGGGCGCCAATATATCAATTTCCATTTTAAATTTTATAGAAGAAAGTACCTCCTGTTGCCCTGTTAGTCCCAAACAAAACAAGGTATTTATTTGTTGGTTTATTTCCTCACATTTTTATGCACTTTGTTTCAGTCTCTCTCTTGCATTTGAYGTCTGCTTTGCTACATTCTGAGGAATCATTTGCTACCAGGAAGCATCCAGYTTCTTTTACCCTGGTAGCAGCATTCATTTCCTATTGTTTTTGAAGGAAGTCTCTGCTTTCACATGTTTTCTGTGGATCAGGAGAGATCGGTATCTCATTCATTGGTTTCCTTTTCTTTCATTAGGGAARAAGCCCTTCCCATAGCATCAAAGGTGAAATATTAACACACTGTGCAGCTGTGTGTTATATTTATAAAAAAAAATCCATTTTGCAGCTGCAGCAGCAGCAGGAAAACAAAAGTTGCCAAACATAGCTTTTGTTTAAAGAAGTGACAGATATTCATAATTATCCTCACTGCTRAGCATGAGGAAATGGCCAAAGGGAGGGAGAAGATGTGAGCAGGGCACAGAAATCACTCCGGGGTATTTGCTGGAAGAAGTCTGGAAGAATAATTTTGTTTCCTAAGGATAAAATCCTCGGTCACATCCAAGTAAAAAGAGTACTTGAAGTTCTCCTGTTTATCCAGTTATTTCTGTTTACTAATTTGCTCTCTAATAYCTCTTGTAACTGGAGAGGGAAACAAACCCAGCCTTATGAACACAGCATGTTCTGTATTGTGACAGCGATGCTCAAGGAAAAGTTACATAAAATATATCTTTAACCAAGATAATGATAATGTTATTTGTAAATGTGCTGTAGCAGCATATGAGGAAAAGCTCACAATTTATTTTTCAGACACCACATCCATTTTCAAACCTGTCAGAATTGTTCTGTGATTTGTAACAGAAAACAGGGCAGGATCAGGTGGGTTTTGCTCCTGAACCTACTTCAGCTGTTTTTGTATAATTACTCTGGTCTCATTCTGGTTTCTGCTGAGCAAACTCCATTTTATTCAATGAAAATATTCCTAATTTTCRTGAATAAGAATGGGGGAAAAGGCCTTGAATCCCCTCAGCAGATAGAAAAACATGGTGACGTGTTTTGCCATCTGTCTGGTCAAAGTCCATGGTACTGCAGGCTCATTTCTGCCAGTCTGAGAAACGAGGGGAGAAGGGTCAGGCACGAGCTCAATGTTCTCTTATTTGTTTACAGACTCTTCCATCTCCCTCTACACATCATGGAAAAAAAAATAATGTGAGGTTCTTTCCCTTCTGAGAAATCTGCCTGTTCACAAATGCTGTGTTTACACTTTGCCTGGATCTTCCCAGGATCGCTCAGAGCTGCTCCTCTGCCCTTTCACCTCCCCTAAACAGCAGAGATTTCAAATCTGCCCAGCTCAGGTTTGCCTCAGACCCCGTTTACTTGGTCAGGTACCATTATCATCTGAGTATTTCTTAGGGGATTAGCAAAGCCTGAAGAGTAGCTCATTCCACTTACAAATTTTCAAGGATTTTATCCTTCTATGATTCTAAGAAGAGTTTGACCATCTCCTAATTCTGGCAATTGTTCAGCATTTAGACACGTTCAAAATGATTTGTGAAGTAACCCAAACTTTTCAGGTGTGACAGGTAAAACAAGCAGAGTGWAGCTGTCCCCTCGTGGCCTGAGTGACAGAATGTCCCTGAGCAGGTTTCCACACAGCCCCACGTGGCAGGGACAGGAGGGCAGGGCTGCCTTTCCGAGCACTCCGGGCAGCTCAGGTCAGCTGGAACCTCAGCCAGGGTGACAGAGGCAAATTCCAGTCCCTGCTCTTGGGATGGTGTAATCCTGCATTTCCCTTCAGCCTGGAGGCTGCAAAGCTCTGTTCTTCTCCAGTTCCAGGGGTTCTCCAGCAGATCCTGGAGTGCACCGTCACAGGGATGAAGGTCCATGGCCTGTATCAGAAACATCTTTCCAGCACATCACAGGACTATTTCCCCTTTCTCAGCACTCCTGAGGACAAACCTGGGATGTTCTGTCCTGTTTGAAGACCCCAGTGCAAGARAGAGAATGAAAAAGCAGAGGTGCTTCCCACACTGCTGAGGTCACTTGGATGAAGTGTCTCAGCAAAATGTGGACATAAAAAAAAAGCTTCCCTTAAGTAAAATGTGCCATGGGAAGTGTGAGCCAATCCTCAGGACAATGACGGGCAAAGCCACCCAGGAATGGCTCCTGTGGGGAACCTGCCCTGGGGGACTTTTTTAGCCACTTGACAGAGGTTTCCACTCATTCCTCAGCAGCAAAAATCCCACACCTTAACTGACAGTCCTGCCAGTCAGACAATAATTAGGTGTGGAAAATGCTCATTATTAAATCACTTTCAGGATATCTCTTTAATGACAATAAAACTGTAACACTGTAATTTTTTTTCTGAATGATTGGGTGTGACTTACAACAGAGCCAGCACCAGGGCAGGAACACCCTTCCAAGCAGGATGGCTGGGCAGTCAGAATCCCTTGGACACACTGCAGTGAGGAGGTGATGTTCTCTCTGCAAGAAACACAATTAATATGAACAATGGTAATATCAAACAAATAAGTACTGGCAATGCTCTAGTAAAGAAAAACCCAATTATTGATCCTCTCTGCCCAGTCTGGAGGTACTTACAGCAAAAATCAGATGGGTGAGGGCAAGAAATGTCTAGATTTTMATTTGTTTCATTTCTGTGAAGAAAAATATGCCAATTTTCATTGTGTACAGTCACACTCCTCACCTAAATCACTCAGTTATGAACAGCTGATGTTTAGTTCTTTGGGCAGAACTCAGAGCTGACAATGCAGGCAGTGCTCCTACTCCAGAGCTGGCAGCTCAGGGAATCAATGACAAGCAGTAAGGAAGACTCTGTGAAACAGGAGAGGTTGGAATAATAAATARCACAGCTAAGCTGGCCACTTTAGGATACTAAAGAGGATTGCCTAAGCCTGAGCCCTGCACTGACACCCTGCGTGATAAGAGATGACAGACAGGCAGATATTTAATAGAAATGTCACCAAGAGGTTTCTAATTCAAAACATTGTTGCATTTTTTAAAAATCTCCACTAAAATTATTGRAAAATATTTCATGGATAATTTATGAATTAGGAAAGAAGATGGGTTTAATGGCAAATTTTTAATGGCAGCATGTTAATATTCTTTGCATTTATCACTTYTTGCTGTCATTGATGGATTCTGTAGCTTTCAAAATATACCAAAGTACATATTTTAATGGAGAAAAAGAATCACATGGGCTTTGTAAATACTTTCATTTTGTCATGAGCCTGAGGGATTTTTTAATTAAGTTTTAATGACCTTGATAATCCTCACCTGCAACCTCCACCCAACATTATGGGCCAGGAGCCCATTTAGGCCTCAATCTGGGGTCAGGGCTCTTCCCTTCAGGATTTTCTTTGTTCTTGTCTCTAGGAAGGACTTGGGACTTTTTTTTGCTGCTTCCTGTCTGTCCTCCCAGGTTGGACTTTGGACCTGATTTGTCACTTTGTCACTCTCAGGGGCTGGGATTGCCAGGGGACTCTTTGGCTCAGGCACTGCTGGGCTGGGTCATCCTTGGCTCCCTGTCCTTGGGAAGGACAATTCCATCTTCATTCCCACATGACCTGTGATAATCTGAAATACTGGGGATTTTTTATAGGAATGATTCCTTTCCTGTGTTTTTGTGCTTCTCTGAGAAAATGCAGCTCTGAMACAGATGCTCTGTTTGTGCCATTAACATGGATTTTTGTCTATGAGAGGAAGAGCAAAAATCCCACAGAAAATGAAAGTGTGGGATTTCTACGCAGAATTTTCTCATAGAGTAACAAAGTTTTTAGAATTGCCCTGGAGACAGCAAGAGAGTAACATTCTTGCTTTCATCTCTGAGATATGTGGGTCAGGAAAACAGCTCCATCTGTTCTCTCYCGAAAAAAAACTTCAGCTGGGTCCAAGTGTGAGCGGAGTGGTAATTGTGGTCTTTATGATACTATTTTTAGTCTACACAAATTTAGGARATGTTTTTGTTTGTTGTTGGCATCATTTGTTCTGCAGTTCTTCACCTGGAGGCTGCAATGCTGCTGTAGAAACTGCTCTGAGGTAAAAATGCTTCCCTCCCTGTTCCCCTGGGCCAAGCCCTGCATAGCTGCTGCATTTCTGGGAATTCCTCACTTTGAGCCCAAGCTCGGAGCATTTCAGCTGTTCCTGATAACAACTCTTGGCTATCAGTATTCAAATATGCAACTATTCAAATTCAAAGCATTTATGCACGAAGGAATGATAAGAACATTCTCCTTGCATACCAAAGAGGAGTTTTCTGCAACCCATCACTGTTCTTGGAGCCAGATGAGGGGGGAAAAAAAAAACTTGGAAAGCACGTGTGAAATAATCATCAACCAGCCAGCCCCTCAGAGAGAATGGAGAGCCAATGAAGAAGATAGTGCAGGGGCAAGTTGAAAATTAACTCCTGGGTTGGCTCCACCTTTTAACCAGCAAAGGGTGCTCTCAGAATTATTTCTAAATTAGCCYGGCGACCCCTCAGGTGTCTTGGAGCTCTGTGTGCACAGGGTTTTATATTCTGTGTTTTGTTGATGGGTTGCTAGGCTGTGGAAGGCTCCTCTGAGGGAGGCAGTGAAGGTTTGGAGTGCCCACCAGCGATGAATGGGGTGAAGGTAAAAGCTCTGGTGCGTCTCTCCAAGCAGCTGAAAACCCTCCGGGGCCTGGTGACTGTGCCAGCACGGCCCTGCAGCTTGGCTGCCTGCTCCCGGACAAAAAACAGGAATGCTGCCTGTAAGTTATYTCATTTCATCCAAATAGGTAAAAAATGGGATAAAAGCCAAAGGAAATGCTGAGGTGGGAAGGCAGCTGGTGTGGTTGAGTGTTGTTCTTATTTATTAGCGAATTAAAAAGGGGAGTTGGAGAATGTGGCTGAAAGGTTGAAGAAAAACAGTGAATAGAATGAAAGAAATGAAAATACCTCTTGGAATTGCAGGGTTCAAACCTTGTTCTTTATTTCTGCTGTGTCAGTGGCACTGGGTTGGTTGTGACTCCAACCTGTAACAAAACGCAATCATTACTTGTGAGGCTTGACTGCTTTCAGTGAAAACTGGATTTATGAACATAATCCAAAACACATTTAGCACAAATTGATTCTGACTCGGAATTTCATAGCCACTGCAATGTTTGATTTGGAAAATGAGGCCTGGTACAAGCCACAAACCCCTCCAAATGTGCTGTACAGCCCTACAATAAATCACTTTGAGGTGCAAGATACTCCTGGAAGATGTTAAAGATTTAGTTATTTAAAATACTGATTAAGTTACTTATAGATAAGATGGGGGCAGCCAGAGATTGTGTCTACTCACTGCTGGGCAGATAATGTCAGCTGGAGAACTGTAAAGAGTATTTTTTTGTGGCTAGAAAAACCTTTTGTTTCCCATTTTCTCCCCTGTAAATTTATTCAGTGTAATAACTTTTCCCAAAGAACAGAGGCAGGTTCCTCCATGAATAGAGAGGTGTGATTTCCTTCTATTTAAATTACCAAATGCTAAATTTTGTATTTATTTAGTTATGAAAAACTGATAATTTTGTGATATAAACCAAGGCAGAGYGGAGATGAGCACAAGGCTTTTTATATTGAAACTCCAAGAAATATTCATTAACTCCCAGTTTCTCCTCTACAGGCACTCTCAGAAAGTTCATTTTCCCCCTCAAAATAAGGAAAAAGACCTTGTTCTTCAAAGAAAAGTACTACTGTTAAGATTTAGAAAAACAATGATTCAACTTCAGAAAATAATAGCCTTTCTAGCAAATTAGTATTAATTAGGTGTCTGTAATAGTAGCTTTCYTAGTGAATTCATATTAATTAGATGTGTTAATTAGCCTGTTCAGCTGTGTGTATACCCACCCCACAGACGGGTGGGTGCACATGAGAGAATTTATTCCCAGGCACCACTAAATCACTCCTTTTCCTCCATTTTATCAGCAAACTTTTGTAATTCAGGAGAGATTGAAGARCTCAGCCCCAACCCTGTGCCAGAAAGAGCAAAGCTGGGCTCCCACCAACTGCTCATGGTGAGCACTGGCAGGAATTTCTGCTTCTGAGAGGAAATCCAGAAAATCCACTGCAATTGTGGTTAAAAGCTCTGTCATTAGTCTGTATTTTTATTCATTATTTTTATATCTGAAGACAATAACCAAGATTGCAAGGGAATATTTGTGGCGAGTCCAACAACTTCCAGCTTGGAAGCTACAATCAAAGTTGTTAAAAAGTAATGAAACCCATGGAACAGCAGCACAGAATCCCTCCATGCWATCCCAATGTTTTTGCTTGCTCAGTGCCAATACCCCACCAAAATTTATGGCCTACAGAATTAGAAACTTCTGCACCAGAGTGTGTTGGAGTGAAATGCTCCACTTCTGTTTTATCAGAGGAGGTGTCACCCTGGGAAAAGGATCTGAAATTGTTCGGTGGAGTGAGAAGTTAAACTGGAGGAGAGCTGAACTCTAGATTCCACATGGGATGGAGAAAGGAATTATTTTATGGTTACCCAGGGTAAGAAGAGATCAGCCCAGGTTGTTCCATCCAAGGAGCACTGCTGATTAACTTAACTACAACTGGTATCCATTTTTACTCACATGCCTCCTTTTAATTTAAGGCAGATACTATTTATTCCTTAAAYCTTCCTYTYYTYTGTGCYATTCCTGCAGGAAATRCCAAAACAAACTGATTCARGAMAAGCCTATCTTTGGAAACGCTGGTTTTGGCAGGCAGGGAGTAGACAGGAGCTCTGAGTGAGGCAGRCTGAGGGTCACTCCACAGTTACTCAGACAAGGGTTTAACAACTCAAAGGCTGACAATTTCAAGAGCTTTTTGGTTTCCCCCTGTGACTCTGCAAGGACAAAAGTCTTTTCCTGAACTTCATTGGGAAAGAACTGTAAAAACATTGGTGAGAATTGTGGCATGGATGTCAAAATTCCCAGTGATGTGGAGAACCAAGAGGTGTCTGTGCCGAGCTCTGTGGTATCTTGCGACAACATGTGGAGGTTTCACACATTAATTTATTACAAGAATTGCTGGAAATGCTCTTCATGGGGATTTTAAGCCTATGGAGTACATACTCCCCCCTAGTAACTATTACCAGAGCAGAGCTGAATGGCTTTTTCCTTTCTTGTCCTTTTAGARGTAGTTACAAGAAAAGCAGAATCCTTCAAGTTTTTGTTTTCTTTTTTCCCTTCTTTCAAGCCCAGCAGTGCCACACAATCCAGGTGTGCCATCTCCAGGCCTGCACACACAACTGCAGTGCCTCCCCAAATTGTCCATGAGATCTCTTCCAAGCCCTTTCTGCRCTGAGTTCCTAAGCCTGCATGCATAATTCTAGCAAATGTTTTTACACAGAAGTAGATAAAGCCTCTGTTTGCTTTACCTTGCCAGCTGGAATTACCTCCCCTTATCTGGGCTCAGCCACTGCCTCCTCAGCCGAGCTCCTATCACAGCCAAATATTGTGGAGGCAGAGAAGAGCTCAGCATTTCCCAATCTGCTGCTGCTCCCCTGTYGAGCTGGGAGCACCCTGTCAGCTACATCTGCTTGATAAAAAGCACTGGGCTGTTTATCAATAAACCGGCCTAAATCACAGGCCCCATCTGACATCAATTCAGCAGAACTTTCAGCACCTTGTCACGATGGACCGGAGCCAACCAGAGCTGTTATCCTCCAAAATCTTGATTCAGACAGAAAAAAAAGCTTCAAGGAAACCAACCTATCTTGGATTTCCTCTGCAATATTCAATTCCAGTGGCTGAAGTGGAGCATGGCCCTTTAAAGTTTAAAATGGTTCTTTACTGGGTTTCAACAGTATGTATATTTTATTTTCTTATTCAGAATGTGTTGCTATGGCAAACAGGGCCTGATTTCCTTCCTCTGGGTGGTATTTCTCAGCTCTCCCCACCACACTCTCTGCCTTGGTTTCTCTCATTTGAAAGTCCCTGAGTAAACAATTCAAAGCTCTTGATTCAACAGGTCTTTTTCTTTCCAAAGGTTAAATCCCATATTTTCACCTGGATCTCCTGATGATCTGTCTGTGATTGTGTAGCCACTCAAAGCAAATTGTTTGCCAGATTTCAACCTGCTCTTACTCAACTCAGGAGTACTTTAAACATRTTATACTGTGAGTGCAATGGAAACTTCTTACACAATGTTGGTAAAACAGAGCAAACACTTCTTTGCAGGCTCTAGTTGAGTCACTGGTCCTGACTCTGTTTCAGTAAAACATTCTCAAGGCTATGTCAGGTTCCTCAGGAAAATTCAAAAGTACTCATCCTAACAAGACAAAAAAATCGCCGAAAGATAAATGCAGATTTACAAAATGATTTTAAGAAATACAATCTAAGATGAATACCAGGGGYTGAGGGTGCTGTTCTGCTCCTGACTGCCCAAGAGAGCTGGCAGAAATCAGAATATTTACCTATCAYTGTGCTTTCACTAATGCTTTCAGTTTTCTACAGACTTTCCTTCTTTTTTTTTTTAATTTTATTTTTCACTATTTGTTCCTTATTGGCAGCAGGAGCAGGAGGAGTGACCAAGGTTTTCACCAATTTCCTTGAGGTTTTACTGTCTCAGGCAGTGGCAGGTGAACACTCCTTGAGCTGATCCTTTTACCATCCAAGGTGGGACTGTTTTGGCCTCCTGCCTTTAGGACAGCCAAGAAAAATTAATATAATGTTAACTTTTCTGAACTTTTCCATATCTGGTTTGGACCAAGGACCCTGCTGTGCCAGAGTCACCCTTGACTGTGCTTTTTTGGTGCAAAGGAATCACTTTTGATGTTAGGGGAAATGGCTTGGTGTGAGTGAACAGGGTTTTGGTGTAAGTGAACAGATTTTTTGTGTGAGAGGACACATTTATAGTGCAAAGGGGTCAATTTTGGTGTGAGGGGRCACTTTTTGGGGTGAGGCGATGCTCATTTTGTGCGCTCAACCCGAAGGAATCACTTTTGGTGTGAAGGAATAAACACCATTGACGCGAGGGAAGACACCTTGTATGAGGAGAAACACCTTGGTGTGAGGGGATAAATACCWTTTTGGCGTGAGGGGATGCTGTTTTGAATAGATGTACTCACTGCGAAGGAATTCTTTTGGTGCGAGGGCCGCGCTTGGTGTGAGGGGCCACAGCGACCACCTTGAGCACGGGAAATGGTGAGGGCACACGCTGAGGGAGCTGCTGCTGCTGCTCGGTGGCTGGGGCAGGATGAAGAGTTGGGAGGGCAGGATGAGGAGGCGGGAGGGCAGGATGAGGAGCAGGATGAGGAGTTGTGAGGGCAGGATGAGAAGTCGGGAGGGCAGGTTGAGGAGCCGAGAGGGCAGGATGAGGAGCCGGGAGGGCAGAATGAGGAATTGGGAAGCCAGGATAAAGAGCCGGGATGGCAGGATGAGGAGCTGGATGAGGTGCAGGATGAGGAGCTGGATGAGGAGCCGAGAGGGCAGGATGAGGGGCAGGATGAGGAGCCGGGAGGGCAGGATGAAGGGCCAGGAGGGCAGGATGAGGAGCTGAGAGGGTAGGATGAGGGGCAGGATGAAGAGCCGGGAGGGCAGGATGAAGGGCCAGGAGGGCAGGATGAGGAGCTGGATGAGGAGCCGAGAGGGCAGGATGAGGGGCAGCACGAGGATCCGGGAGGGCAGGATGAAGGGCCAGGAGGGCAGGATAAGGAGCTGAGAGGGTAGGATGAGGGGCAGGATGAAGAGCAGGATGAAGGGCCGTGAGGGCAGGATGAAGGGCCGGATAAGGAGCTGAGAGGGCAGGATGACGGGCAGGATGAGGAGCAGGGAGGGCAGGATGAGAAGTCGGGAGGGCAGGATGAGGAATTGGGAAGCCAGGATAAAGAGCAGAGAGGGCAGGATAAGGAGTCGGGAGGGCAGGATGAGGAGTTGGGAAGCCAGGATAAAGAGCTGTGAGGGCAGTCCCGGCCCGCCCCGGGGCCATGGCGAGGGGGCCGTGCCGGAAGGGGCCGCGCCGGGCCGGGCCGGGCCGGGCTGGGTTGGGTTGGGTTGGGTTGGGCGGCGGTTCCCCCCCGATCTCCGCCGCGATGCTGCCGCTGCTCCGCCGCGCTTGGGCGGCCGCAGCCTCCTCGTCCTGCTCCTCCCGGCCGGGCAGCCGCCGCTGCAGCCTCGGTGCCTGCTGTTCTTACCGCCTGCGAGACGCCCGTGAGTGCCGCTCTCCCTCAGCCCCTCAGCCCGGCTTTCCCCGCCCTGCCCCGTCCCTGCCCCGCCATCGCCTCCAGCCCCCTGCACTGCCAAACTTTGTGCAGGAACCGCAGGGACGCCGAGCTCTGCCTGGCTTTGTCCTCGGCTGGAATATCAGGAAGTGACAKGGTTTTGGCTGTCGGGAATGCTTTGTGCCGCTTTTGCCTGAGTTGACCTCACGGAGTTCCGTAAAGTTTGCTCCTCGCTGAGGGGAAGCAGGGGGAAAGTTGTTCGGCCACCCTTCATGTGAATGGTTTGGAGGTTTAGTTTATTATTAATTCTTCGTTGTGAAAAAGAGCAGTCGTATCTAGTGGAGCAGCCTGTAAGGTGATGCTTGGATCATCACAATTTGGGGTTCAGCAGATGGACAGGGCACAAAAACMTGAGTGTGGTTCAGCAGGTGAACAGGTCCCCACAGCTGTCAGTTCTGGTTTTAAGCAGAATCAAGTCCTGTGGAAACCATTCGTGTACCTCCCCTGCTTGTGCCAGTTTGAGRKGCCCAGAATGCCCCCAGAATTGCTRGGTTTGGGTGTGGGATCAGCAGGAGCCGTCTGCRGGAGCAGTTTTGGTCAGGGTTGCTGTGGTTGCTGCAGGAGCTCTGCACCCTCCCCTGTGGGGAGAATGTTTTGCTTCCCAGAGGGAATTTTCCTCTATCTGGAGCACTCCCAGCTCAGCTGATGGTACTGGTGTGTAAGGAAAGCTGCAAAACAAAGCTGCCTTAAAGTCTGGCAATAATAGRAAAACATTCTCTTTTTCTGGAAATAAGGGGACAGTTTCTTTGCAGAGCATTTTGCCAAGGYAGAAAGGTACCGACATGGTTCTAAGTAAAATAACAGTGCTTCCCTGTGTGGCTTTGAGTCATGCAACTGGAATTTTTTGTTTTTCTTTCACTTTCCTGGGCACCAGCTGACTCGAATTAGCCTTTGGTGACACGGCACCATCCYTTGCCAGAAAGTTCTGTATCCTGACTCTCCTCCTCCTCTTCCAGTGCATCCGCTGTGGCAGAGCCCGCTGACAATTCCCGGAGGCACCCGGCAGTCTCCCATCAACATCCAGTGGAGGGACAGTGTTTATGATCCCTTCCTGAAGCCTCTGAAAATCAGCTATGACCCAACCACTTGTCTTCACATCTGGAACAATGGGTACTCCTTCCTGGTGGAGTTTGATGATTCTACTGATAGATCAAGTAAGCAAATCTCAGAAATCAAAATCTGTTTAATGTCTCATTAGTGCTTTTAGGAGAAATACTTGTGTGATGTAAGACCTCATGTTGGAAATGARTGTACAGTAAAAAAATGCTGGAGCTACATGTGGATTTACATTGGTGGGAATCATAATGAAGAAATTCTATACAGGCTTTGCATTTACAATGTTTTTATTACCATGGGCATTGTGCACAAATCCCCTGCTATATGTTGAAACTCATTGCACAAACCTCAATGCTCTTTTAGGTTTTGTAATACCCCAGCTTTGTCCACATGAGTCAATCTTCAGTCATTTATGTGTGTATCTACTCAATTTGAAATGTGATTCCATCATTGCCCTTTATTGAAGTAATCTGCCACTTACCTTTTGTGGTGCTAATAGAGATATTTAATGCTCTTGAAATAATCAGCAGCCAAATGATTTGCAGTAGGAAAGCACACATGCTTATCTCCGTGTGGTTTTTAGGGAATGAAATAACACCGAGGTCTGCCCTAGGGAGCAGGTGTGTGTGTCCCTGTTGTTTTAGGGGAAGCAGGAGTGTGTGGAAAATCCAGTCACGCATTCCAGCAAGTTCATGCGAACAAGCCTCTGACCTGAACAGCTCAACCTTTTTAAATGCTCAGTAGATGAAAAAAATTGACTTAAAATCAAGATGTCTCTCCCAAATCCCAGATTTTCTGTCTGTTGTTCCTGCTAAAAGCTGCCTTTACCAAAGGATATTGCAGAATATAAAGATATTTCACAAGAGCAGGTGAGCTGGTAGTAGATTGGTCAGGGGTGTTGTGAAGCACATGATTGCCCAGCTTGTCCTGTAGGGAGAAAATGAGGGACCCTGAGCAAGTGTGAACCTGTTGGATTGGAGTCATTTGTGGCTGCTCACCATGAGAGATCCTACAACTTCCTGGGGGATTTAGCAATGCCCTGGGGAAGCCTCCTGCACACAGATAAACACTTTGTCTTCACAATAACAATATTTTGGCTGATGTTTGGAAAGATCAGTGCAGCAAAAATGGTAGCGGTGAAATGCAGGGAGCTTTTGTGGTGTTTGGGGCTTGTTTTATTTTTCTTGTTTCTAGCTGTTCACTCAGAATATCCATTTCCAAGAGGGAATATCCTTGCCCTTGCTCATTTGAGCACTGAGATCATGATGAAGCCCTTCTGTTTCTACAGCACAAACTGCTGGGATTTTTTCAGAAGTAGAGTTAGTGGGGAGACATCACTTGTTGCCTGATCACTAATTTTAATTTACTAACTTTAGATTGGCTTTGCTTCTAATTTAACAACCTCTTGCTTTAAGCCACACACTGCTGTCTGTCGAGGATATGAAAAGTTTATAGTGGATAACAAAGTTGTTGGTTTTTTCTCAAGAATTGACGTAACAGAGGAGAATTGCCTGTAGGGGATTCAGAAATGTGCAATATTCAGCTGCACAGGGGCAGTGTAGCCTGGAAGCATCAGAACTCAGGTTCTCACCTCTGAAAGATCTTCCTGCTTTATCTGTAAGACTTCCCTTGAGGTAAATATTTCCCTGTGAACATTCTTGCTGCCTTTTCATCATCCTCAAGTGAATTGAAGTCCATGAAGGGGCAGGATGGCATCAAATAATCCCTGACAGGGCTCCAAAATGACAGAGAAACAACAGACAGTGAGGTGTCGCTCTATAACCCCTCAGTTTTCAGGTGCCTGCCCCTCTCCTCTGCCTTTCTCTCTTTACTCTTGCTCTTTCTGSTTTTTCTCCCTGCCAGCTTCTGTCTAACAATCATAGAAACCCAGAGAAGAAAGCTTGGGAACAAACAAAAGCAGCACAGTTGAAACAGAAGATGAGAAAGACACCCAGGATAGACAAAAATGCCTGAATCCTGAGATGGGGCAAAGCAAGACTTGGGCTAAAGCTGAAGGTAGAGCAGGAGGAGGAAGAAGAGGGTGAAGGGAAGGTATGTACAGCACGTGGTCTGTCTGTGTGTGGTGCCATCAGAAACGGGGCTGAAACAGAGCCAGGGCTGCCATAAACAGTGCAGTGATTCTTTCCCCTGGCTGTTGTTAGAGCCCTTCATATTTCTATTTTGTTTTGAAATTTGCCAGATTGTCATTTGAGAGGAAATGCTTGTAAAGGGACTGTGAGTTACTGTTTGTCTCCTGTCACTCTCTGGTGTCCACTAGGGGAACCTGAGTCTCTACGTTTATGTATTTGTGTTTAAAAGTTACTTGTGAGGCAAATATTTAAGTGGATGTGGTTATTAAAATATATAGTTACAGTCACTTGTGGGTTTGCATCATCAAATAATCAGGAATGAATCGTGTTAGAGCACAGAAACTTCAGTTCCAGAAGGCTTGGCCATRTGAACCACATCTTCATCCCGTTCTTTCTCCATCACAGAATCCCACGAGGGTTTGAGAGGAAAAGGACCTTAAAGCTCACCCCATTCCACCCTCTGCCACAGGCAGGGACACMTTCCACTATCCCAAGTTGCTCCAAGCTCCATCCAACCTTGTTTTGARCACTTCCAGGGAAGGGGCATCATGATTTTCCAGTGCTGGTCAGTATTGCATTCATGCCCAGAGCTCAACACTAGGCCATGAAATRAATTCAGTGTCACTTTGCACAGCTTGTTTTAACTTACTCCTTTCTCACAGCCAGGCCTGTCTGGTTACAATTTCAAACCTGCTGGCTGCCTTTCAGGAAAAAAAAAATAATACAAGAAAATCTCTTAATTCCTCTCATTGTTTTCTCCTTAGCATGAAAGTGATTAACTTATTTCCAAAAGCAGTGTTGGGATTAGGTGCTTTATGCCATGGTTTGCTGTAAAGCTTCCCCTGTCCTACAGTTGAGTAAAAATGAGCAGATGCTGATGGTTTAGTACTGGATGAACAGTTGGACTCGAGGATCTTAAARCTCTTTTCCAACCTAAATGATGCTCTGATTCCATAAGTGTTATTAGCCCTTGGGAAGTAATTAGGGTTTCTCATTCAGCAGATGCTCTGATATAATAATTAGCAAGATGACTTTGCAGGATGTTTTTGGTCCMGTTAGGAGGGAATGAGTGGAAGCAGAAAGCTGGGCATGGACTCTTTCATTCGTGTGTTTGCAAAAGGATGAGAGGCCTTCTGAAATCAGGAGAGCTGTGACTGAAGGTTTGCCTTTAGTCATTGATGGAAAAGGCATTAAAGCTTTCAGAAACTCACCCAGAGGCAGACTGGATGTTTAAATAYTTCATCAACACTTTGTAGGTGCAAKAATCCATATTTCTGTCTGTGCAGCAAATCCTTGACCTTTTGYTGTGCAGTCTGAAGGCTGTGTTGAAGCAGAATAAGATGTTTGGATTTTTGTTACCTGGAGGAGAGTTGAATATTTGACTCAATATACTGATTTTTTGGGTGGGTGGCAAAATTTGCTTTTTGAAATCTTGTAATAAGAAATGTCAATATTTTTCACAGATCCTGAGGCTTATAGGGATGTCATTTAATACCTTTAATAGATGTGTCACTGCTGTGTCACCTGGTCAGGCAGCCCTCACACTCCTGCTCTGACAGAGGAGTGAGAATGTGAAATGTCATCACTGTGACTGTGCCAAAMTTGATGTCAACTGGAAAAACATTCCCTTGAGGGGAGATGGATGAGGAGATTATTGCTCATCTCCAATTTGATGCATGGAAAACCAGGAATGTGTCTGCTTGAATAATTTTGTCACAGCAAARTGTGAAAGTAGCCAAGCAATAAGACTCTGTCACAGTGAAAAGAGTTTTTCTACCTGATTTTTTTTTTCCTGGGCAAATTTTTTCAAGAATTTCTTTTCCTGGCCAATTCTAGATCATGTTTATTAACGTGTGTCTTGTTTTGTTTTTCAGTCATCGTTGGAGGCCCCTTGGAAAACCAGTACAGGCTGAAGCAGTTCCACTTCCACTGGGGAGCTATCAACGACTGGGGCTCAGAGCACACAGTGGACAGCAAATTTTACCCAGCAGAGGTATGAGATGAAATCCCAAAAAATGCAAAAACTTGGCTTAGATGTGTCTGAAAACTCCCAAATTGAGGAATTGCTGTTTACTTTTAAGGATCAGACATATTGGGTGCTACAGCTCATCTGCTGTTTTGTTCTATAAAAATTCACTGTTTTCTGGAGAAGAGCTGCCTGAAATTGGGCATTGGCCCATTACTGAAAGTTAAAAATCACTTTGTTTATTGTTACTGAATGTTTCAGAGAAACAAAGCATACACTAAGTACTTTAAAAACCCTTCATTTACTTTCTGTTTGCAACTSTTTAGCAGTTACTAAAATAGCAAAACTTTGATGCTTAAGTACCTACTAAGGAAGAAAACGTCAATGAAAATGATGGAGTCAGTGGGGGAAAATGTCAAAGTGTGACAGCTTTGAACACAGTTCTTTGCCAAAGGAGGAGAATTTGTGAAGTGATRATGGGTTATTTTTAAGGAGACGTTTATCTCCTGTTGATGTGTTCATAGTGATGCTGCCAGCTTGGCAAGATCCTCATTTAACAGGAGACTGTGACTGAGTTTTTGGGCTGGGGTATTAATTCACCACACAAAACTCTTCAATGTATTGACTGTCAGCAGKGCAGAGGAAGATTTTTATGTGCAGGAGGACAGTGTGCTCTGCTCTTCCTGGGAAGAGATGGAAGAGCCCTTTAGCTCCAGGAATACTGAGCTTTGTACCTTAGATCAGCATTTAGTCCCACAGACTAAATCCCTTTTGTGTATGGGAAATGCAGTGCATGTGTCTTTAGCTATTGTTCAAGGCCAAGAAAATGAAAAGGAAAGGAAGGACCATTATTTACCAACAACACTTTGTTCCTGATTTTTGTGGTGTGTGGTTTCTGAGGAGCTCCCTGCAGTGTCCCACACTGCCAAGGACCAACTGGAACCAAGATCACAAGTCAGGTGTGATGTCTGTGCTCTGTGCAGGGCTTGATTTCTCCCTCATTCCTGTTTCAGCTGCATTTGGTGCACTGGAATGCTGTGGAGTACCCGAGTTTTGAGGAAGCTGTGATGGAAGGGAATGGCCTGGCTGTTATTGGAGTGTTCTTGAAGGTAATTTCAGTGTGTGTGATCAGCTGTGAAGAGGCCTTTCTGTTTGCATTCTGTTAAAGCCAAGTTAGGGCAATTAAGGGAACTCTGGGAGGGGATCCTGTCAATCCAACCAAATATCTCCAAGGGGTGCCAGAAGATGGTGCCAGGCTCTGCTCAGTGGTGCCAGTGCCAGGATGAGCAGCAATGGCCAGAAATTAAAAAAAGTTTCACCTCAATATGAAGAACTTTATGGTGAGGGTGGCAGAGCCCAGGAACAGCTGCTCAAGGAGAGCAGGAAATCTCCCCCTCTGGAGACATTCCAACCCCACCTGGGTGTGTCCACTCTCCATGTGCCCCTGCCTTGGGCTGGATCATCTCCAGAGCCCCTTTCCAATCTGAAGTATTCTGTGATTGTTGTTATAAAAAAGCTCTGAGGTGGATAAGTAGAATTGATTGGTTATTGATCACCTTATTGATTCTCCAACCCCTCCATGTCCCTGCAGCTGGGAGCGCGGCACGAAGGGCTGCAGACCCTGGTGGATGCCCTGCCWGCAGTCAGACACAAGGTCAGTGTTTTCAGCTGTCCCACCCATTGTCACCCAACAGAAAGAACATTTGGACACCAACAAAACACTGAGAAAAGCTTTTTTTCCGTAAAATTTAGGGTGGGGGCTGATTGACACCTTGTTGGCTACAGTGGAAGTGGGAGGGAAGCTGATTTTTCAGGRGGAATTGGATGCTTGAAGCTTTCCCAGCTTCTTGAAAAAATGCTGCTCTTGAAATTGTATCCCCTTACAAATGTATACTTGACGTGGGGGTTTATTTACTGTGGAATTTAGGCTTTTTGATTTTTGGCTGCTCTTTGAGGAGGAGATTATTTGCTTTTTTTTATAAACAGTGAATTTTCTGCTGGGGAATGGGATCTTTCCTGGCAGACTGCTGTCAGGAGAGGGCGTGCTTGGGTYTCTGACAGCGCTCAGAAGCAGCTCCTCCTCCTCCCCGTGGCCTGTTCCCTTTTGAAAGTACACACAAAAAMACACAGCGACCTTTTCAACTCCAATCACATCCAGCTGAAGTCGCTGTGCTCCATTTCTCACAGGAAGCAGCTTTTAAAATCCAAACAAAACAAATAATTGTGTCAGAGCAGCGACAGTTCTGTCAGATAAACACCAAACACCTTAGTCCAGTGCCAGAAGGACTCAAAAATCTGAATATACATCTGTTATGACAATATAATAATTTAGTGCATGTGAATTTAGAAGAAACTAAACCATGATCTGCCAGTATATCCTGAAAATCCCCCAGGAGCAATGTCTGTGTGGGAAATCATGGGCTCTGGAGCTCCTGTGTGCTGTTCCCACTTGTGGGATTGAACATTCTAGAGTCAGGAATATTTGATACCTTTTAAATAAAACTTCAGTTGTCTTCCTGCTGCCTGAAATCACRTGTTGAAAAGTAAAACACTTTTTGTTTGCAGTCTTTTAAGGATCTGGCACAGCTACCTGAACTTATTCCACCACTTATTCCCTTTTTCCTGGTTGCATCCAGCTCCTAAAGCCTTAGGCCATTGATCCCTTCTCACTCCTTGTTTCTCCTGCACTGAATTCCTGATGACTTGGGGGACAGCAGAAATATTTAAATTTTGTCTGCTCAGCAGCTGCCCCTTACACCTCAAACCCAATTTTATATGAGTTTGATGGATTTAAAATTATGACATTATTATTATTCATACCACCTYATTTCCTATCCACACACGTAACACAGTTTTTAATCTCATTGTCAAGATCCTTTTTAATTTTCTGTTGTTATTTTCTCAAAACACTATTCTGAAAAATGTTTTTTTTTCTGCTGTTTAGGACACTGTGATCGAGTTTGATGTCTTTGATCCCTCCTGTTTGATCCCTTCCTGCCCAGATTACTGGACCTACGCCGGCTCCTTGACCACTCCCCCCCTCACTGAATCTGTCACGTGGATCATTAAGAAAAAGCCAATCGAGGTGGATGAGGATCAGGTAAATCTCAATTTTCCTTTGCTGCCACAGAGAGGGAGATGCACAGAACCRCTTTACCAGCAGTTCTCAGTGAAAACACAATTCTCTGTTCAAACACAGAGATCAGTGATTGCTTCAACCCACAGTTTAGGGAGGAACCCTGGCATTAATGGTCACTAACACTGAAAGACCTAAGACCTCTACAAGATGTTTTTCCAGTTTTATTCAACTTTTCCAACCATTCTCAAGAGTTTTATTTTGATCTGTGATGCACAGTTCTGGAAGCTGCCCCTTGAAAACTTGGGGAGTTTTAGGARCTTACTGGAATACTGCATAATTTTGCCTTAGCCTGATGCAGCCTTTTTTGTGGAGGGAAGGGAAAAAGGGAAGATTTTTGTGAAATTGAAATTGTTAACAGAGAACTGCAGGCATAGTGTGGCATTCTTCTTTTAAATTGAAGTTTTTCTCATTTTTCTCTCTTTCTTGGCTGTTTACTCTCATTCCTTGATGGCATAACAGTGACTTGCCATTGGAATGGCCTTGTKAGCATTAAAAACTGATCTGCTGTACTTTCTTTTAATCCCAGTGCTAACCCACTGAGAGAACAACTCTGGGGACTGTTGGCTTTCCCCCATTTCTGGGTGCCAGGGAAGGTGTACATGAAGGTTGGATGAAATATTTGAATGGAAATAACTCTTTCAGCTGTGCCACGTTTGGGATTTAATTTCCCTAAGGATGGCAGATGACTGATAATTCTTTCATTCTGGTGTGGGTGATGGGATAATCTTTACCATCAGGTGACCAAGGTGTTTCTGTTAAACGTGTTTGTGCTAAAACTCCTCAGAATGCAAATGTAGCGCTATCTTTGATTTGATTTTCTCCTCTAAGATTAGATKACTGTTTTTTGCCATGAATTCAGTAAGTGGGGAATTGTGAAGTGACTGGATGCTGTTTGTGATTGGCAGCTGGARGCCTTTCGGATGCTGCTGTTCACATCAGATGGCGAGGAGGAGAAGAGGATGGTGGACAATTTCCGTCCTCTGCAGCCGCTGATGAACCGCACGGTGCGCTCGTCCTTCCGCACCCGCCAGCTGCTGGACCCCGAGCTCCGCTCCGAGCAGGTCAGCCCTTAGCTGGCCCAGCAGCTCCAGGCCAGGCTGCACACACTCACAAACCATGGCATGGTTTTCCCTTTGCCTGCAGCCTTGGTATCCCTGCCTTTTCACAGCCAGTGTCCCATTGCCTTCGCTGGAGGAGCTGTGGGGTTTTTTAGCTTTGCTTTTTTTTAAGAAGTAAATATTAACCCTTAACAAATGGACTTGCTTAAAGCAGGGATCAATATAAGGAAATATTTTTCCYCTAATTGTCAAAATAAGGACAGGAGAGCTCTTCCCCTGCCCCTTCTCTGAATTGTTCTGTGTCTCTTCAAATGCTCTTTGAGTGCCTTGCATGAATTAATAATCCTGGGTGAAAATTATTAGGAAGGAGGGAGTGTGAAGAAATGAAAAGTATTAATGCTGACCAGGTTCTTTTGGGGAATTGTTTGATGTCTGGGAGGAGATCTGGAAGGGAGCTTTGCTTCTCTCAGAGACATTTTACCTTCTTCCTTTTCCCTTGGATGACAAGAGGGGAAGGACCAAAATGACTTTCAGGATAATTTTCCATCTATTCGTTACACATTCCATGTTTCATGTGGGTACTACAGAATGCCCACTGTAACTACACCACCACACCAAGCCAGAAGACTTTTTCTAAAACCTTTTAACAAATGTAGAAGCTTTTGGCTTTGGCAGCTTTTGCTTTCCTGTRTTACTAATGTGTCAGGAGAAGAGAATTCACCAGTATCTCATGATGGGAAAGAGCAGCAAATTAGGTGAAAATGTCCAATTGATCCCAGAAAACTGATCACATCAGARGAAAGCAAGATTAGACAAGGCCCAGCTGACCCTTCCCAGAAGGATCAGGGGGGAAAAAAAACCCAAACCAGTTTCTGAAACCTGTGCTAGGAGAGTGTGGATAAAATGCAGCACTCAGAAARAGGTTTTATTTCAGTAACTCATAGAGGACAAGTGCTCTCTTCCAAGTTTTGCCTTAAGATGCCTTTTCCCATAAAAGATGTACCCCGTTTCAGGCCCAGTGGGGACCAGTTTGTTTTTCTAGCACCTTATGGTCCAGTGGGGSTTGGAATTCATGTGGACCAAGCAGAGCAGCAGTGTGAGCTGCCAGCTCTGAGCCTTTCCCAGGAGTTATGGTCCAGCTGCCCCAAGGATTACCTACCTCTCCCATTCTACAAACCCAATTTTCTCTCAAGCACCTTTCTCCCTGGCTCCTCATGCTCTGCTCTGTTTACCAAATGAAATTCATGCACTGGATTTCTGATGAGGAGCAGCTCTGTCTGTAAACTCCATGGGTGACCTCCATGAGTGTTTGAGGAGGCTTTTGAGGAGTTTCTCCTCCCTCTAATTCTGATTCCTGGTGGAACTCAGCACAAGTGAAGCCATGACCTGACTCAGTAACTCGAAATCCAGACCTTTCCAATTGGTACTTTGTTTTTTGAAGTCCAAGCGTTCAGTTTCAAAGCACCTTAAGACTTTTTAGTGTGACCCCGATGATTTTAAGGGTTTGAGATCATCTTGTTGAACCAGTGAAGTGCCCAGATCCTGCCTTTCCTTARTAGCTCTACCTCAGGCTGTTGTTGTGGTTCAACAGTTGTGCCTTTGTCCCCTGAAATGTGGCCCTTTAACTTTGGAGTGACTCTGTGGGGTAAAAGGAAGAAAATCCCCTTGTGTCCCAATGTAGGATATTTTTCCTGTAGGGAGTTCAGYGTGGCAGGGGAGCTCTTTGGTTTCACAGCTTCTCCCAAGCCCTCCCTGCCTGGGGGAACATTTCCCTCTTGGTTGTGCCATCTCAAGAGCACCCTGTACAGTAGAAGGTACCCCTGCCATGGCAAGGGTGGGACTGGATGAATTTTAAGGCCCCTTCCCACCCAAACCATTCCATGAATTTATGATTCCATGTTCTCAGTTGAACTCAGCAGTCTTTGCCATCATCACACAGACCTTCTGCTACAAAATCACACCAGTGATGATTTTTTCTAGAGAATGTTATATTCCAAAATAATGGAAGAAATATCTGCAGTTCTGGCAACAGGTAAAGAATTATTTTACTTTTTGCCTGAATACATAATAATAATGATTGGCCATTAAGTTGGAGCTTTTTGTTCAGTGCTGTTTTTGCAGGCACTTTTTTGAAGATGACCCTGGAGAAAGATGGCAGTGGTTCAGATATTTTTTATTCATGAATAGAAAAARCTGTAATACAAAAACATCTCAGTGTTGCCTTTTATTTTAAAATAGAGCTGCCTCAGCAGCACTGGGCTGTAGGTGCATTAATATCTTTCTCATATATGAATGGATCTTTTAAAAAGCTTTTGCAATTGCTCCGTTTTTTCAGTTGCTGAGTTTTTGGATGTCTCTGATCCACTGAGTTTGGAAGAATCACCCATTAATCCAGCTTTCCCAACCAATCCAAAATGCAGATTTTATCCTTAGGGAAYTGCCAGGGTGTAACTGTTGAATTTCAGCTGCCCTGTAACTCTATAGCAGCCTCACACCCCTGAGTTTTCCATGGTTTGCTCCTCTCAAKCAGATTTTCCTCCTGGCTGTGTAAATCCCTTTTAAACACACCACCCTGCATCCATCAGAAGGATGTGGGAAATTCCCTTCCCAGTGATCCATTTACAGTTCTCATAGCATTTATTTCAAGTTCTCACAGAGATTTACTTTGTTCAAGTATTGCCATGGAAGCTCTGTTAGAGACAAGTGAATTAACCACATCTATTTTTCCTGACTTAAAATGAATAAATTCCAATTTTAGCACTGATCACTTCAAATATCTGTAAACAGGGTTAATGTAGAGACAAAGTAACTCTACTGTGTTACAAAAAGAAGTTTTACAGGGGGGTTCTGTTACGTTTTTTTTTTTTCTGTTTCTGAAGTCCTGTATTTGTATATAGTGTTTTAGCATCYCTTTAAGGCAGGCAGGAGCTCAGCTGAAGGGCAGATTGTTGGAATTTATCTGGAAATGAGCTCAAAAGGGTTTTATGGGGTTTTTTTTTTGTTTTTTTTTAAGTTTTGGATTTTCTGTTACAATTCCTGTGTTGGCCTTGTGAATGTTATCTTCGGGAAAATAATTGTRTGCCTGCACATGTGTGTAAAGCAGGAGATGGGATAGAATTCCTGTGCCTTATTCTCTCAGTTCTGTGTAGAAAAAATTATTTGTGTGTTGGGTTAGAGCTGATTTTTGTGATTTTGCACAGCTAAGTTAAYGAGGAATCTTTGGGCCCTTTTGGGTGGCACAATATGAAAGGGTTAAAGCACAAATTTGTATTTTCCTTGCATAAAAGTCACTTTATTACTTTATGCATTCCTGGGGCAGCRAGTCTTAGGAATTCAAAACTTTTCCAGGAATAATTCTGGGACAACTCCCTGAAAAGGGAGCAGAAGGTTTGGAGCACAGACCTGTGTCTGTGCTGGCCTGACTTCAGCTGCCTTTCAATATTTCTCTGAAATGCTGCTCTCACCTTGTCCTTGGTGATTTCATAGTTGGGACAACTCCCTTTGGTGTTTGAATGTTTGATCCCTGTTCCTGCATTCCAGAACTTTCACTCTTTAGGTGTTCCTGACTGCTCTCGTGCTGCCTTTTCTGTCAGGAATTACAGGAGTGTCTCCCTTTATTTTGGAAGCTCTAGAAATGGAGTTTGCCTTGGTTTTCACAGGGTTTTAGAGGACTGGAATTTGGGATGTTTTAACTTGTATTTCCTGGCACATCTTGGCTTTTTTTTTTTTTTTTTCTGTGTGCATCTCGTTTTTGTGGGCTTTATGACATTGTGTATTTAATGTATTTTATCTGCCTGATCATAACGTACTGAAATCACTGTCTGTGGAGACACCACCTGTACCAGGGAATGCTTTATGTTTTCCTGGGATTCAGGCCCTTTCCCTGATGTATAGAACCCTTTAGCTGCTGGATTTTACACTGTTACATTAGTGTGCAACTACAATAAAGGAACAGAGAAACCCATGCCTGTATCTCATTGTGTAATTAAGCTTTTTGATTAAAAAAAAATCAGATTTCCTGTCAAGAAAAGAATAGAATTCCTCTTTGGGAATGCCCCAGTTCATTAGGAGTGGAGTCTGATCAGCTGTCAGATGTTCTGTGATACTTCCAGGCTCTGAAAGACTCAGCTGAACTGTGTAATAATGAGAGCACAATGGCCTCTGTGTGCTGCTGTGCTGATGGAAGGGTGTCTCATGATTGATTACACCCAGCTAGATGCCACAGGCCATCTCCACCAGCATTCCAGAGTTCCAGGATCTTTCTGAGACTCCTTCACTGGACACTGSCCATTATACTGGACCTGTCAGCTGAGCTCCTGTCTGTGGTCTTGGTAAAACTGAGCCCTGAGCCCACGTGTGCTGTGACTCAGGGCTGTAAAAATGCTGTCAAATAACCCTAACAACCCCCTTCGAGTAAATTAAATTTAAAATGGATATGAGAGTAGGTTTAGATTAGATATTGGGAAGGAATCCTCCTCTGGGAGGGTGGGGAGGCCCTGGATCCCTGGCAGTGTCCAAGGCCAGGTTGGATGGGGCTTGGAGCACYCTGGGCTGATGGAAGKTGTMAGGGTTGGAACTGGGTGAKTTCYAATRTCCCTTCATGCCAAACCATTCCATGATTCCATGAAAATTGGGTGAATAAACATTAATTTTCTGTCTCTGCTGAGCCATGCTTGCAGTCCAGCTGTCACACAGAGCAGGTTTTGTTTAGCTGGATTAATCCAAACAAGTTTCTTTTCACAGGAGACCAGGAGTTTACATTCCTGATTAAGGAACCTCCTAAAATAATTGTCAATAATCTTTACAGAAGGCTCCCCAGCCCTGCTGGTGGGTGGGCAGCCAGTTTGCTTCTGGAGGAAGAGTGGCACGGGTTAGGAACCAGGCCAAGCACTGCTCTTGAGTCTATTTAAGGGTTCTAGAAGCTGCCACCGCTTCCATTTCCCCAGAAAATCCAGCTGGGAGCTCTTTATCAGCACAGCGAGGTGTTTGCTGAAGAAATGGGGCTTTGGTGGCTGGATCAAGGCAGYTTTGCCAACAGCTGCTTAAAAACATCCACCACACTCCTCACAAATGGCCAATTTGCTCCTGCTCCTGCTCATTGTTTGTCCTTCTGACAAATCATTCCTTCCCTCCTCCTTTTTGATGTGCCAAACTGCGAGTGCCTGAGGGTTAGCACGTGGAGAACTGATTGGATAATCAAATAGTCTTCAAAGATCCTGCGGAATAACTTGGGGGCCTGAGGAGAGGTAATGTCCGTGGGCCAGGCTGATAACAGAGCTTGGCATTTGGGAAGTGCTTTGAAGATATCAGGCACTCTGGGAACACACCCCACAATGCCAGGGTGGTGTTTTCTCAGGAATACAAATGGAAAAACAGTTGCAGAATTAACTCTGATGGATTAATTTGTAAGAGAGTMGAGTGTGTGGCTGGCTTGGAACAGGGCTGTTCAGTGCTGCTGCTCTGCTGCCTCTGGAGCCTGGGATTTCCAGGTTCTGAGCTGGGAGTTYGTGCAGAAATTCCCTTGGGGAAGAATTGGAATGGGATAACTCAGTCCCACTCTTGTGAGAGTTCATGGAAATGTGTGTGTGGGTTAATGTCAGGTGGAAAATGCCAATCCWRGTGGGATTCTTGGGGSCAGGAGTTGGACTTGATCCCTGTGGGTCCCTCCCARCTCAGGRGATCCYRGTTCTAGGTCATTGCTTGGCCTTGAGAAGCTTKGCCTGGAGTCCTGGAGAAGTAAATYCCTTGATGAATTTATTTTATTCCAATTTGAGTCCAATATATAACTAAATTCAAGCATTCACCCRAAAACACCTGAAGCAAATATTTTATTTTAATCCCAGTCCTGTCTACTGGATCCTGATGTAACAGGGCTGACAGTCCCATATGTTGTAAGTACCTGGTTCTTTCTCTGATTTCATGGTCCTGTGACCATTTTACCTGGGATAAATGATAAAATGCAGTTTGCCTCTGATGTTAAACCGGTACGGTAAAGAAAGGCTTTTGGAGTTACAGAAAAACTGTCAGAAATGTTTTGTTGTTTATTTTTAATTAATTGCCAGAGTCTTTTCAATCTCTTCAGGATCCCATTTCTCTTTGAAAATTGGAGGAACGTACTCAGTGCTAAGGTAATTTTTGTCTTTGCTTTCTTCTTAAATCTGGGTGTTTACATAAAGTCAGCAGCAGATTTTTGAGCCCCTGAGCAGCCACTAGATGTCAGGTTYGGATTAATGCTCCAAGGCCTGGGCTGGGTGGGATCCCTGGAATGGCTGCAAGTGGTTGTGATGGAAATTAAACATTACTGAAATGTGTCCTTTTYCCCCAGAATGCCAGTCTCACCTTTCCATGGAGTTCTCTAGGAGAAAACCTTCCATCCCWGCTCCTGCCTGCCTGAAACGTGCACAGAGGAGGGTGCTCCAGCAGGATGGACACCACCTTGGGATTTTGGAGCTTGGAAGCAGCTCCTTAGAGGTACCACTTTCACTGTCAGTGGAAATGTTTGGAATCAGAGCTTCCAGGCTGTGGCCCCTGAGCTCCTCTCCTATCCCACCAGGATAACCGGGAGTCAGAATTTGCTGAARAATTGGCTCCTTGGGCATTATTGTAGTATCCAGAGTATCCTTGGGTACACAACCTCTGCCTTCAGTGAGGCAGCCATTGCCCTTYCTGCCTGCACGACTGCCAGCTTGGTGAATTATTTTATATTTTGCAAAAGGTTATTTTATGTTTTGCAAACAAGCATTTTTGGTGACTTCGCCATCTGTCACATTTGAGATTGGTGAATTTTTAATTTTGCAGACGCGCCCTTTTGGCCATTTCTGCGTGTGACACGAGGCGCCGACTCCTGCAGCGCCTCTGCAGACTGTGCAGGTGATGCAGCGCCAGGGCCTTCCGTGTGTTTGTGCATCTGGGATGGGAAAGGGCGGCAGGATGGGCTGGGGGAGCTGCGAGAGGCAGAATCCGTGTGTTTGGATATACACACACAGGGATCCATCCTCTTTTATAGGAACACACAGCGCTCCTCCATAGGAACACAGCCTAGCAGGGAGAGGAGGGCTGGCAGCACACCTCCCCTGCGGGCAGCCAGCAGCGCTCTGCACCGGCACTGGGTGCTTGCTCGGCTCTTTCTGCCCCATCTCGTGTACCCGGGGCTGGGACAGAGATGTGGGGTGCCCTTCTGGCTCCTCTGTCCCCTCCCGGAGCGCAGCGAAGGTCGGAGGAGCCGTGCTGGGCGAGACGCGCCGCTGAGCAGCGCGAACCAGCGGGCACCGAGCGCCTGCCCAGCGCCTGCCGCGCAAACCAGGGGCGCTGCGCCATCCCCCCTTCCTCCTGCCCTCCTCCTGCCGCTCTCCTCCTCCTCCTCCTCCCCCCGGAAAGGAGCCCGGCCCCGCGGCGCTCGCCGCCCACCGCCGCCGGAACAAAAGGGGCGGCCGAAGGTGGCGGCGCTCTGCGCCCGCCCGCTCCCGCCGCGCTCCGCCACCATGTCCGGCAGCGGCGGCAGCTCGGCCGGCAACGCCGTGAAAAAGCGCAGCCCCGCCGGCTCCAACGCCTCGCTGGCGCACGATGAGGAGAAGCAGGCGATGGAGAAGATGCTGGAGGCGGCTCAGGAGAACGGCTGTGCCCGCTCGCCGTCGCCCAGCGCCTCGGCGGAGGGGGTGACCCTGCAGCGGAACATCACCCTGCTCAACGGCGTGGCCATCATCGTGGGCACTATCATCGGCTCGGGCATTTTTGTGACCCCCACGGGGGTGCTGCGGGAGGCCGGCTCGCCGGGGCTGTCGCTGGTGGTTTGGGCCGTGTGCGGCGCTTTCTCCATCGTGGGCGCTCTGTGCTACGCCGAGCTGGGCACCACCATCACCAAGTCCGGCGGGGACTACGCCTACATGCTGGAGGTGTACGGCTCCCTGCCCGCCTTCCTCAAGCTCTGGATAGAGCTGCTCATCATCCGGCCCTCCTCGCAGTACATCGTGGCCCTGGTGTTCGCCACGTACCTGCTCAAGCCCATCTTCCCCACCTGCCCCGTGCCCGACCAGGCTGCCAAGCTGGTGGCCTGTCTCTGTGTCCGTAAGTACCGCTCCTGGCTTTCAGCTGACAGCYGSGGGGGATGGATGGGRTATYGGGAAGGAATTCTYCCTGRGAGGGTGGGGAGGSCCTGGCACAGGGTGCCCARAGCAGCTGTGGYTGCCCCTGRATCCCTGGAAATGTCCAAGGCCAGGYWGGACGGRGCWTGGAGCATCCTGGAAGGTGTCCCTGCCCATGGGACRGGATGAGCGATAAATTCCCTTCCTACCCAAGTCATTCCGCGATTCCCTGACCCTCTGCAGGTCCCCGCTGTCGCACTCCACGTGGTTCCTCACTCAGCATCACCTTCCCCAAAAGCTCTGCCCCATCTCTCCTGTGCAATGCTGGCTGCATATGGGGAATTTTTTTTGGGCTATTCTGAATAGTCCCAGTAGAAAATATGGCCCCATCCCTAAAAAACTGAGCAAAAAAACCTCCCCAAATACCATCTATGGGCTAGTGAGGCTCTCTGATTCCCGACAGTACAGCGAGCAGCGTGTGATAAATGCAGCGTGCTTTTTTCCTGGGAGCTGGAATAGGATTTCTTGTGTTCCCCCCCAGAACTGTGCTCGGGCAGGGTAAAATCCCCCGGTGCCGGGCAGGGCGTTGATGTGCGGGTTTGGCTGAGCAGAGCAATTATCTGTCACCAGCAACTGGTGCTGAACGCGCCCTGAGCTGGTTTCAGCACCAKTTGGGAGATGAGATATTTCCCGGCCGTGTGTGCGCCGACATCGTGCTCCAAACCTTCTTTTGCGGGGTTTGTTTTTGCTCGCAAACGTTGTGTCTGGGGAGGCGTTGCTTTGCACAGAAATTCAGTCRCGGTGGGCCAGTGGTGCCAGACTGGGCACAGAGATCCCTGCCAGGGCACACGGATCCTGCCAGGGCACACAGAACTTTGTCTGRGCACACATATCCCTCTCCTGATGCAGTTTTTGTCACCTCTTTGCACTTTTTGGGGTCTGCAGTTTTACCATTCAAATCCTGTTTTCCGTTCCCCTGGTGACTGCAAAGTCACCCCATCCCAAAATTCCCCACCCTTTAAATCCGGGACCATGTTCTGCCTTTTCCCTCCTCGTTTACCATTCAATATCTTCTGCTCCACTAGAATTGAATACCTTTMTAAAGATGTTTATTGGGAGAGGATATGATTTTTGTGAGGGCTTTGTAAAGCATTTATTCACTGTCACAGCCAGGTGATCTGTGTGTTTTTGCATTTTGAGTGAYGAGCAGGAGGCTGCTCGTTGGTGCTGCCCTTTCCCGGGGGATTGTGTGAGATTCTTTCCCCCTCTGAGGATCTCAGGCATCCCAAAGYTGCAGCACATGATCGTTATGGGAAGATATATTGTCTGGAAATGTCTTTCCACCCGGCCTGACCCAGGCTTTGGGAGGTAAATTATATGGCTAATTATAGGATTGATAACAGGCCGGGCAGGGGGTAGTGCTGTCTTCAGGAAAGATTGAAACTTCTCCGTCCCCGGCTGGATTTTTAGGAATATAAAGGTACCTAGGCAGGCATGTGGATTTCCATCTGAGTTTTTTACGGTGTGGAGGGTGTTTATCAGGGAAATGGAATCATTTAACTAAGAAAGCTGTAACATGGTTAGGGAACGGTCCTGCTGGTGGCTGTCTTGCCTTCTGGAAATGCGATTTTGGAGCTTCCCTGCCAGTCTGCTCTGTGCTTTTCTCAGGGACACATGGGAGAGGGGCATGGATGCACATGGCATTCCTGTTCCTTGCTGAAAAACCAAGGAATCAGGGCATAACTTAGGGAATTGCTGCCTTATGGCAAAGTTTTGCTGTTCAAGCACAGTTTGGAGCTGGCAAAGCCTTTGAGGACGTGTTTCTCACCATAAATGTCTTTTCAGCAGCAGGATCATTCCCAAAACTGGTCTCTGTTCCCTTTTTATCGATCACAATCCAATGCAGGGTTAAATAGATTTGYCCATTTTGGGATCTGTTCCCTGATGGGGAATTTGCACATGAAACTCCTTGAAGCTGGGTCTCATTCCCATTTATCCTGCTCCAAGAAATGACTCCAGCCTTCCTTTGGTAGCAATTAGGAGTTTCCCTGCAGCAGAATTTGTTCTTGAACCTTTATCCCCAAGAGTTTGGAGTTCTCCAAATCTGCATCATTTCCATGTGTTTTTCCTTTAAACTTTGCTCCCCCCTGCACCGCTGGCTCCTGTTTTGTTTATGCTTTGGGTTACATTTGGGGTTGTCTCCTTTGCTCCAGGAGATTTGTTCACCCTGCATCGCCTTCAGCAGGGGCAGCTTTTCGGGAACTTTGATTTGTGAAACTTTGATTTTTGGAATCAGCTTTTCATCTCCCYGGTGCCAAAACCGCACCGTGGCCCAGGAACAGCAAATGAAGCAAATCTGCTCCGAGGGCTCGGGGAGTCACACAACACTCGTGTGGACTGACAAACAACTTTGTTCCAGACACAAACTGCCCAGGGAGAGAGTTTTTTATCCCTTTCAAAAGCTCTAGGGTAGAAAAAAATGACCTATTTGTGCATAGGCTGTGGCACATACATTAATGAGCCACCTCAGAACAGGATAGAGCACTTTTGGGAAGCACCAGAGGAATTTGGGACCTGGGGCTGGAATCCAGTAGCCCAAATTCAGCCTTGCAGAACGGTCCCAGCTCAATTCCTTGCAAAGTTTSTATCTCCACACGGAATGCACTTGGCTGCACAGTTTGTAGTAAGAGGAGCAGTAACAAAAGTTATTTGTTTCCACTTTGCTGCTGTCGAACAGTTGAATAAATAATGTTTTGTTTGGTATTTACCGCCCTGAACTTAAGAGACTGAATGAGTGCATTAAGAGAATTCTAAATCACGGGCTTGAATGAGAGGAAAAAAAAATGGTTGGAATAAGGAATTTTGCTCCCTTGAAGGTGCTGAGGAAAACAAGGTGGGTGGTAAGGAGAATTTACTTGCAAATAGGTATTTTGTGCCCTGGAGATTGCAATCTGCACACAGCTGGCATGCAGGGCTGCTTTCATGGGCACCGTGAATGCTTGGGGTGTTTGCCAAATGAAGGGTGGGAATCCACGACAGGGAAGTGTTCCTGGGGCAGGATGGGTCAGGCTGTTTGTTCATCCTTAGCCTGGCTCGTTTTATGTTCACCAGAAATTTGGCCCAAGGCGTTGCAGGCTTCAGTTTACTTGGGTCATGCAGAAATTGGAGCATCTTTTTAACCTGGGTGATAGTTTGCTTCTGAATTCCTGTCTGGCTTGTTAATTAAATATGCAAATCTGGCACTAATAACCCCAGCACAGCAATATCTGCTGCTTCCAAAGCCGGGGAATTTTCATCTTCCTCAGAATTTAGCTGAACTTCCCGCACTGCTTCTGAACCCTGGTGCTTCTGCAAGCGTGGAATTCCAGGGAATGCTGATGAATTCCTCATTTGTCTCTTTTGTTTTGAGCAGCCAAAGAGTGGAAGAAGGAGCAGCAGCCAGGGCAGAGCTGAGTCATGTCTGGGAGCATTTGTGATGTGGAAGTGCCTGACACTGCTGAGGAACCTGGGAGTGAGGGAGGACAGGGAATCCAACCCTGGGTACAAACACATGCCCTGGGCAGCTGCCARCTTGTCCAGAAGGAAATACCCAGTGTCAGCATTCCACCCTGAAATCACAGACATGGAAAGCAGCAATGGCTTCATTTGACACTGAAGGGTTTGCTTCCAGGCTGCCGAGCTCAGCTCTTTGTCCAGGTGTGTGCAGAGAGCAAGAGGTGGATTTTCACCTCAGCAGGTATTAACTGGTAAAAAGCAAACATAAAACACGCCCAGGGCCTGTCTGCCCGAGATGGGCTCATTCTGCAGCCTTGCTGCTCTTAATTAATCAGCCAGGACAAGCTGGGTGTGAAGCTTTGAAGATTTATTTTTCCTCCTCCAGAAAGGTGGATTAAGGGTCTAAAGCTCCATCAGCAAATTGCCCTCRTTGGAGTGGAGTGGAGTGGAAGGGGTCTGTGCAATCCCTGCTGGAAGGCTGCAGGGCTGAGGTTGCTTTTTTTTAATCTGTGTTTAATTAGAGCAGCATTAATGAAAACAGGCTCTGACACTCGCAGGAGTCTCCTGAAATCAATGAGTGCTTGGAGGGCTCTCGAGCACAGCGAGGGAGCAGCCACTGCAGGGCTCTCCCAACAATTATCCCATTAAATGTTATTGTGTTTGGATGGTTTGTGCTATCACTGAGATCATTCCCAGTCCTTCTCCTCTGGCACAGCAAACTGGGAAAGTTTTTTGTGGAAAACCCCTCCAGGGTCAGCCTCATTTAAAGCACCATCACTTGTCTGGAGTGTTCCAAGAGTCTCACARTCCCAGAGGTGGCAGGAGGTCAAATCCAAGGGATGAAAAATCCATTTTTTTCCAAACAAAATGCAGAGCTGAGTTCTGTGCACATAAAATATCAGTGAGTGTTGCTCTGTGTTGGGAAGATGCTTCTGTGAGCTGAGCGTGGAGGAGATGCTTACCTGGGGTAATTAATTTGCAGGGAATGGAAGAAAGAGGGAAAAATAAGTTTCCCATCTCTTTTCTCTCWGTGTTTTGTTTGTGTTCCCGAGGTGAAGTGTCCTGGTGGTGGAATTGCTGTGTCATGTCCTCTGGAAAGCTCGGCACTAAATCACAAGTTTCTTCCTCAGGAGATAAAATAGCAACTCCTGCCTCTGGGTAGGAGCCACCTCTCAACCCTGAGGAATTCTTTGGAGTTTTYCTGTGCCAGAATGCCCCTCTGCCATTATGGGATGTTGGTGCCACATAGGGGATTGGGTGTTCCATATCCTTGGCACGTTTGGGGTGTCTGAAGCTGTTTGTTGTGACACCCCAAGCTCTTGATTTCAGGTGGATTTGGGGATGATCCCTTTTCTCAGCTCCTGGTAGGGCAGCCTTTGTCTCGTCCTTTGTCAATTCACCGTTCCCTGATTGCAGTTCTGGGAATGGGAGTAAAAAGGGAGCTGAAATCCATGCCAGGTATGTTGGTGATTATGAGTTGATTTTAAT